AGTCATCACATTGTGCATCGCATCCCCAGGACTTATCTACCTTAGAGCTGGAAGTTTGTGCCTTTTGACCTCCTGCCTCAAATTCCCCCTCCCCCCACCCTCTGCTTCTGGTCACCAGACATCTGATCTCTTTTTCTATGAGTTTTGGTTTTTCATTTTTTTTTAGATTCCACATATAAGTAAGATCATATAGTATTCATCTTTGTCTGACTTATTTCACTTAGAATAATGTCATCCATGTTGTTGTAAATGGTGGGATTTCCTCATTTTTATGGCTGAAGGATATTCCGTTGTATATATATGTACTGATGCAGGGTCGCGGTGAGCCCAGGAGTTGAAAGAAAGATTTCTTGGACTCTCAAGGTCTGGCAGTAGTGCTCTTTTACTCAGAGAATAGTGTGGAATAGCATGGGGACAGGACCCACGGGCAGGAGGAGCTGCTGCTGCTGCAAACATGAGTTGAGAGTAGGGCTAAATTTAAGGCATAGGTATGTGAGTTATCTCTTTACGAGACAAAGGAAAGAATATGTAAAAAGAGTTGTTAAAATGGTATCAGTGCCCGTACGGTCTGGTTATTGGGTGGTCCTATAACTTTTAGATAAGAATCAAACCGGATTAAGTAAATGGCAGAAGCCACCGCTTAAATATTATCTTCAGCTAAAGACAAAGGAGGATGTTGGGGAGGGGTCAGTTACATGAGGTTGCCAGACAGCAAACAACTTAAGTCCTTGCCTTCCTCCTTAAGAGTTTCCAGAGATAAGGCCATCCCACTTTCCTCCTGGTGCAGAGAGGGAGACTCTCCCCACAGATGGAGACTTCCTTCACAAATGCAAACGTCTCTCATCAAAGGGCAAGCAAATTCCACTCCTTGGAGCCTCTTCTCATCTGCAGTTTTTAAAAGTAACCATCCTAAAATCCTCATCCTGCACCACAACTTCTTTATGCATTCTTCCATCAATGGACACTTAGGTTTTTTCCACGTCTATTTTTTTCAATTCTTAATTTAAAAGTTTAAGAAGAGGAGTAGTAAAGAGACTAGTTCTATCAGATATTAAAGCATATTTTAAACTGATAGCAATTAATATATGTTGACCTAGTATAAGATTAAGAGGCAAAGCAATATATCAGAATATATAGCCCAAATTAGACCCAATTATCAAAAATGCAGTATATTATAAAGTAGGTCTAACAATTCAAAGAGTAAATACAATAAACAGTGACAAATAGAAATGGCAAGCAATAGGATATATTGGAGTATATGAGGAAGCCATTTGGTATAAACCTAATTCAACCTGACTTTGTTTTTTTCCAAAAAGGGCTTGACCGTGGCCATTGAGCACACATTGTATATCAGCTTTAAACATTTACTATGGCAAGAACAAATGCCCTTAAGATAAAGGTGCAACTTCCCCCCACCATTTGCATTTCCTTAGGGATAAACATCTTTCCTTAGGCTAGGAACTGATTGCTGTGCTCACCTTTGACCACCCAGCTCACCTGTGACCACCCGGCTCAAGACAACAAATCTGCCACCCTGCTGTGTCCACCGAGACAGCAGACCTATGCGCTGTTTCCATCAATCGCTGTGCCGACAGAGCAGTCTCATGACTATTGTAAAAGGGATATTTCAATCATATGTGAAACATCCTGTTTGGGGGTATATAACCACTCTATGCACCCCACTTCTTCGGTGCCCTTTCTTCCTTCAGGAAGAAAGGCCCGGGCCATGGTCCTCAGATTTTAGCTCAGAATAAACTCTCCCAAATTTTCATTTATAGATTGGTTATGGGTTATTTTCAGTGACAACAGTTTAATAATTTGGGGGAAAAACGTCTGTTTGGACCTCCACTTTTAATCACATGCCAAAATAAATTCCAGCTGGATTAACTGTTTTACAAACAGAGAGCCTGCAGAGGCCAGGAGAGGCAGGACCAGCCCTTGCTCATCACTGCGTCCCCAGAGCCTCCTCCAGGCTGCTGCATGGCTGCCCCAGACAGAAGAGACTAATCAAGTTCCCTCTCTGCTGCCCACTGTGTGATCTTGGGCAAGTCATTCTGCTTCTCCGTCCGATAAAGAGGGGATGGTAAAGATACCCGGAGCATGAGAACACTCATCATAAACTTTAAAATGCTATACAAATCAACGGAAGGAGTAAATATTAGAGAGCTGCATTCATCCACGTCACTACTACTCAAATAAACTTAGCATTAATAGTTTAGTGATAAAAACAATGCCCATTTTCTTAGTAACCCTTTTTATTTAATAAAGTAGACAATTTAAGTTGTAAGAATATACACTTTCCCTCAGGGATTCAGTAAAATTATTTTAATTTTGAAAAAGATACATCTCATAAACATGTTTATTTTTCCTGAATTAGCCTTTTAACCAAAAAAAGGCCTGCCCTCACTGCTCTAAAGGATTTAGGAGATTTTCTTTTCACTGCTACTGTCAGGAGGCCTAAAGGCAGGAGGCAGGCCATGACGTCCAGTGAAGGGCTGGGGTGGAGGGAGGGTGGAGGGGCGACATTGCACAGCAAAAGGAAAGTCCTGGAATTAGAAAGACCCTGATGTGACCTTGAGCAAACTGTCTGCCTTCTCCTTGTCTCCAAAACCGGAGATGCCAACCCTGACCACACAAATAAAAAGACGAAAACGAGGCAACTTACGTGAAGCCCCCAGCCCCCTCCACAGGGAGCTTGTCAGACAGCATGCTTGAGTAACTGTCCGCCCCCTTCTCGCGCAGGAAGCTATCCCGGGCTTTCCTCTGCCTGCCTGACTTCTCTAACAATCCCTCTCCCCTGCCCAGGAGAGCCCTTCAGCTTCAGGGAGAGGTCTGAGGTAGTTCACACGTTGTTTAGTCATTCAGATTCCAGGAAGAGCCTCATGCTGCCTTCCCCTCCTGAACCCTCTCCCAGCCCCACAGTCCCACCCAGTCACTTTCTGCTAGGACACTCACACTAAGGTATGGTGCTCCATGGGGTGCCATTCACAAAGCATGTGCTGCAGCCAGAGGCACATGGGGTGGCAGAGTGCTACAGCCCCACACAGCACGCTCACACTTCCTTGGCAGTGGCTAAGCCAAGGCTCACACTAGGCCAACTACAGTTGCACTGCTGGGACTCAGCTCCATTCTCCACCTTATCTGCTGCAGGAAGGCCCATAAACATAGTCAAGGTATAAAATAAAACTTCAGGGCTGGCCTGGTGGCACAGTGGTTAAGTTCACGTGCTCTACTTCAGTGGCCCAGGGTTCAGGGGTTGAGATCCCAGGCGTGGACCTACACACTGCTCATCAAGCCATGCTGTGGCAGTGTCCCACATACAAAATAGAAGAAGACTGGCAACAGATGTTAGCCCAGGGCTAATCTTCCTCATGAAAAAAACCCAAAAAACAAAAAACTTCTTCAGGTATTACTTAATGAAACTGATTGCACTTATCAGCTTTCTTTCCTGCAATCACATCTTGTACCTTCAGGTGTGAGAAACTAAAGAATACACATGGTTACAATTTGTCATAAATAAATAAAACAAAGCCCCATATTGTTCACCCAGTTTAGCTCAGGTTTAAAGCACTCAGTCCCTCGACTGGCACTGGAAGTGATGGTGCTGGTGTAACAGCATCGACAGCTCCTTCCCAGGACCATTTTTAAATTACTTCCCAATGCTTTGCTGGCCTCTGTGTACTAGGTTCTTTGTCTTGAGATTGTGATCCCATCAAATTTTCATTAGCTTGGCCTCCTAGAAGAATGGTTGTACTGCCTTTCTTTGAGGTACGCGGCACGGACCCCACAACTTCTATTATACTGAAATAACAGGCCCAAAATGGAGTCCCTGGTGCTAAGACCCACTAAGACTTAATAGTTAACCAAACTGCGGTTTCAGCCGCTCCCAGGAGAGAAATTTTAAACCACTGGTCTTGAATTTCCTGGTCAACGCTAGTGAGGTGATCTGCCTCATAGACCCCTCCCTTCTCCTCAGGGAAGGTGACCTTGCCTGAAATAAGCCCTCTTTCTACTTCTTTGTCCCACCCTCTTTCTGCCTATAAACACCTTCCATTTTGTACAGCTCCTTGGCGCTCCTACCTATTTGCTGCAAGGGATGCTGCCCAACTAATGAATCACTGAACAAAGCCAATTAGGTCTTTATATTTACTCAGCTGCATTTTTGTTCTTCAACAACACTCGTATAGTCTCCTCTACCTTTTGCCTTTTTTTTTTCCGGGCTCAAACTATTCCTTGTCTCCTATACTAGATCTACCAGTATCCATGTCTTTCTTTCATCTTTTTATGTTCTTTTGTTTTGGTTCTTTTTTTGTTATTTTACTTGGGGAGTGTATCACTGTTTAAGCATTATTACTCTTTCTTTGAATATCCCATTCACAGCTTGACAATACATACCTATTTATTTTAAAGGCAAATTCTATTCATCCACTCGACAAATATTTACTGAGTGCCAACTCTGTGTCTAGTACTCAAGCTACAGTAGAGTTCATCTCACTCACAGAATTTACAGTCATAGGTTGGAAAAGGCAATGTGGATATATTCGCTTCACCAGACTACCAAGAATAAGAAGCTTGGGGCCGGTTCCATGGCTGAGTGGTTAAGTTTGGCGCTCCGCTTCAGCAGCCTGGGGTTTGGCCAGTTTGGATCCTGGGCGCGGACATGGCACCGTGAGTCAGGCCACGCTGAGGCGGCGTCCCACATGCCATAACTAGAAGGACCCACAACTAGAATATACAACTATGTACTGGGGGCCTTTGGGGAGAAGAAGAAAAAAGAAAGATTGGCAACAATTGTTTGCTCAGGTGCCAATCTTTAAAAAAAAAAGAAGAAATAGTATTGATATGAGGCAATAGTTAGCAAAGACCTTTTACGGGGCACAGGAAAAGAAATACTTTAAATAGCATAATAAACCCAAGGAATATAAAAAGAAAAGAGCCCTCTTCTATTTTATGAGTTATATCAGTAATTTAGAATTAGAACAAAGAAAACATTTCCAAACCTCACATCCACTGTATTATTCGACTCATGGTCAAAAACTTCAAAAGCCTCTTTGATTTTTTTGTGAAATTCTGCTACTGCTATCTCTGCAAAAGACAAAGTAAATAAAAATTATTTTACTTCAATTTCTAATTCAAAAGAAAAATTTCAATAACTCAGCTGGAAATTCTTAATAAGGAAGAACATGCAGCACTCTCTCCTAACTCCTTAATGTATCAGACAGCATTTGAACTTCCTCTGGCAATATCAAAAGTGGAACAGACTCATTTTCCTTACCTTTTTTACTGGGGCATAATGCACATCCAATATAGTACCAAAGGTGCACCAATCTGAAGTACACAGCTCCATGAGTTTTTACATATGCATATAGGCCTGGAGCCACCACCAGATCAAGGTCAAGAACATTGCCAGCGTGGGCCTCCTTCCCTCCAAGCAGTTTGGGTGGAGCCAGGGCCTGAGAGGCAGAGGGAATCCAGTGCCACAGACGCTGACTGCAGCTCACTAGTGTGCCCGCTGCTGCGGAAGGGCCTCTGCGCTTGAGGGGGACTGACGGCGGCCAGAGGCATACGAAAGCACCGTGTGACACTCCCTCAAAGAGCTTTCAAACTAAGACCTAATTATATCAAACAATTAAAGTCATTTATTCAATAAGTATTTACTGTGTACGTACTCTGAGCTAGATGCACTTCTAGGTGCTGAGGTTATTGGAAGGAATGAAATAGACAAAAATCTCTGCCTCTATGGAGCTGTTTTTATCGGAGGAGATGTATAAGCTTATACATGCTGATAAAATATATGGTAAGTCAAACGGTGCTGGAAAAAATAGATCACGGAAGGGACAGGAGGAGTGCTGGGGGTGTGGGTGGGGAGAACGGGAAGCCATGGCGGTCTGGGAAGGTCTGCCTCAGTGACACGGTGATGCCTGCACAGACCTGAAGGAGGGCAGCGCCAGCCTTGAGAATATCTGCAGAGAGGGTTTAGGCAGAGAGAACTGCAAAGCAGAACGTAGGAAATAAGGGCAGAAAGGTGTGTTTGGGGTGGAGGATGGATTCTGTATGGCCTCTGCAGGTGCTTGAAGCATGTTGTCTTTTACTTTGAAGGAGCTGAGAAACCACTGGAAGGTTCTAAGCAGTGAAGGGATGTGGTCTGCCTTATATTCTCTTTGGCTGTTATGTTAGCAATACCTGGAAAGGGCCAGGGGGGAGGCAGACAGCCCAGCTGGGAGGCTGCGCAGTATTCTGGGTGAGAGACTGATGGTGTCTCAGACTGGATGGCAGTGGTGGGGTGGGGAGAAACGATAGGAGTCTGCATGTATTCTAAGGGGCAGAGCCTTTGCTGATAGGTTTGATGTTAGGTGTAGAGAGAAAGAAAGGGAGTGAGGTTGAGTCCAAGGTATTCGGCTGAGTGGAAGAATAAAGGAAAAAAATGCAATCAAGTCTCAAAATTTGTTTTTCAAATAGTAAGTAAAACAGGACACTCAGAAAGGGAAAGTAAACATGAGTTTAGATAATTATTTTAATTATAAATATAATACCATCAAATTGTAGAAAATGGGAAAAATTTTAACTACGCACATTCCCTTTACCCTAATAGAACCAATAATCATTTTGCTGTATTTTCCTCCAAATTTTCTTCATACACAACCTTTTATGTATAGCATTTAATAACTACCATTCATTTACTCAACAAAAGTTTACTGAATGAACACCATGTACCAGGTTCTGTGTCGGGTACTATATCTACATTGAAACCAGAGGGGTAAGAATCCTATTTTTAGAAAAAAAGAAATTGAAGCTCAGTGAAATTAAGCAACTGGCCCAAGATCAAGGAGTGTGTGTGTGAGGAAGATTGGCCCTAAGCTAACGTCTGTGCCGATCTTCCTCTGTTTTATGTGGAACGCCGCCACACAGTGGCCTGATGAGCGGTGCTAGGTCCACGCTGTGATCTGAACCTGCAAACCCCCGTTTGAAGCAGAGAATGTGAACTTAACCTCTACGCCACTGGGCTGGCCCCAATAATATCACCATTTTTTGCTTCCTCCCTCTGTCTCTGTCTCTAAGTAAATTGCAGACATTATGAAACTTCATCCCTATTGTTGAACTATTGTTCAGCAGGCATCTCCTAAAAATAAAGACATTCTCTTACATGACCCAAATATAATTATGACATCCTTAAAACTTAACAAAATTGACCTAATTAGATCTAATATCAATATTCAAATTTCTCCAACTGTGACCATAGATGTGACCATAATGTCTTTTATAGTTATTTTTTCAACCTTGACGCTAACCAAAGTTCATGTACTACATTTGGTGTTTACACTTTTTGGTCTCTTTTAAACTAAAACAGTCCTCCATCCTTCCCTAACCTCCTCTCCCCCCATGAAATTAGCTTTTTGAACGGACAACACTACGTGATGTCTTAGAAAGAGTCCTACAGTCCAGATTTGTCTGATAGCTTCCTTGCTTCACTCTCATGTTAAAAACCATTACTCCATTAAGCTTCGTTCCATCAGGATATATGCCTACTATTCTTTTTCATTGCTGTATTCTACTGATTCTCTGATCACTTCCTCCAAATTTATCATCCCAACTAATTCAGTTTCCAACAACTCATCCTCACAGTTCTATTTGATCATCAACACCTTTTGATTCTACTTATTAAAGACTTCTCAAATCTGTCTCTTTCCTTCTATTTCCATCGTCACTGTTAATTTTAGACCCTCATCATTTTTGGCCTGAATTAATATTGTCACTTCCTGTCTTTGGGCCTCTGGTCTCCTTTCATTCCCTTCCCATTCCACCCTTCCAAACACAGTCCACACTTTGCTTGGATAATCTTTCTAAAATGAAAACTTGATCATGTGACACTCCAGTTTTTAAAATCCTTCAATGGTTCTCAAGGTCTTAAAAAAATTCAGATTTCTTAACATTGCAAAACAAACCCCTCTATGAACTGGGCCCCTACCTATCTCAAAAATATCATTTCTTAACACTCACCCTATATAGATCCTCCAACTTGGAAATCTTTGTAGTTTCCCAATTATTATGCTTTTTCAGTGTCACTGTGACTGATAGTCCTTCTGTATGGAGTACTCCTCTCCTTTTTCCTGGCTAACTCCTACTCATCATTCAAGGCAGTTTAAGAGTAACAGATCTTTTGAAAGATACCCTCATCATCTTTTTGAGGTAAGTACCCTCCTATGTAATCATGGAACATCCATGGACATCTCTATCATAATTTATATCAAACTGTATTATAGTAAGCAGTTTACTTATTTATCTCCCCTTCTGTACTTGCAAACACCTTGAGAATAACTTTGACAGTGCCTGAAACATACTAAAAACTTGATAAATTCTTACTAAATAGTTAACGATTGGATATGAGATAATCCATATCTCATATGGATAGGGACAATCCGTAATGTCCCTCTTTGATGTTTTGTTGGGGATTATTATCAGAGTTATTGTTATTTCTGTCATATAATGAAACTAGACGGTGCTTATTTTTTTATGTTATAGAACAATCTGTATAACAAGAGAATTATCTGTTCAGTAAGAAATTGGCAAGAGAAGAATTAAGGTAGTATAACAAAATGAGAGACTGCAAAATATATTGGTTAACATTCAGTAACATATTACAAGGATTACACATCATGACCAAGTGGGATCTATTCCAGGAATTCAAGATTGGTTCAACATACAAAAATCAAAGTTATACACCATCTTAACAGAATAAAGGGAAAAAAACACCTGGGTATCACAACTGATGTAGAAAAAGTATTTGACAAAATCCAACGCCCTTTCATGATAATAATATTCAGAAAATTAGGAATAGAAGGAAACTTCCTCAACATGATAAGGTCCATATTTGAAAAACCCACAGCTAACATCATATTCAATAGTGAAAGACAAAGCTTTTCCCTTAAGATCAGGAACAAGACAAGGATGACTTCTTTTGCCACTTCTATTCAACCTAGTACTCAATGGTCTAGCCAGAGGATGTGGGCAAGAAAAAGAGGTTAAATACATCCAAATAGGAAAGGAAGAAGTAAAATAATCTCTGTTCACAGATGACATCATATGTGTAGAAAACCATAACATTCCACAAAAAACCTGTTAGAGCTAATAAACAAATTCAGCAAAGCTACAGGATACAAAATCAACACAAAAAAATCAGAAAAATTGCATTGCTATACAATAACAATGAAAAGTCTGAAAAGGAAATTTAAAAAAATCCATTTATGATAGCATCAAGAAGAATAAAACACTTAGGAATAAACTTAACCAATGAGGCAAAAAACCTGTGAACTAAAAACTACAAAACATTGCTAAAAAAATTTAAAAAAATTAAAGAGGACACAAATAAGTGGAAAGATGTCCCATATTCATGGACTGGAAGACTTAATTTTGTTAGAATGACAGTACTAGCTACCATAGTTTGAGTTGTGCCTCCTCCCAAATCCATATGTTGAAGTCCTAACCTCAGAATGTGACCTTATTTGGAATAGGGTCTTTGCAGTTGTAATTAATAGGTTAAGACGGGATCATACTGGAGTAGGCTGGGCCCCTAACCCTATATGACTAGTGTCCTGATAAAAAGGGGAAATTTGGACAGAAAGACAGATACACACCACGTGGAGACGAATGCAGAGATCAGAGCGATGCAGTGGAAGCCAAGGAACACCACAAATGGCCAGTGACTCAGCGTAAGCTAGGAGAGGAGCATGGAACAGATTCTCCTTCACAGCCCTCAGGAAGGAACCAATCCTGCCAACACTTTGATGTCAAACTTCCAGCCTCCAGAATATGAGACAATAAATTCCTGTTGTTTAAGCCATGTGGTTTATGGTACTTTGTTACAGCAGTCCTGGCAAACTAATACACTACCTAAAGCAAGCTAGAGATTCAATGCAATCATTATCAGGATTCCCAATGTGTTTTTTGCAGAAATAGGAGATCCAACCTAAAATTCATATGGAATCTCAAAGGATCCAGAATAGCCAAAACAATCTTGAAGGAGAGCAAAGTTGAAGAACTCACATTTCCTGGCTTCAAAACTTACTACAAAGCTACAGTAATCAAAA